CTCGGGGCTGCAGTGGGACAGGTGGAGGGGCGGAGGGTCGTACTCCCTCAAGGCCAGCAGGATGATGATAAAGCCGTCGACAGCAGCTGAATATTAGCCAGGTAAGTGCTAACATCTCGCTTGAAAAGTACTCGATGTTAAGTACCTTAAGTTAGTCAAAAAGTACCCACAATTACTAAAAAAAAATTCCTTAAGTTTAAGCTATAATTTTCCACTGCTGATAGTTAGACAAAACAGAAGTAAATGTTAGTTCAATTTGAATAGCCCAAAGTTCAACAGTTGAACCAAACAGAACGAAATGGCAAAAAAGTTACAAATTAGGGATAAATGAGTAAAAATGGTGTTTAAATATAAACTAATTCCCCCTGAAAAAGTTAGATGTTAAAGATACGATGACAAAGATGGTATAACACTAGTAAAAACATGTAAAATTAAATATGTGGTTGTTAAAGACCAAAAAACTAGTAGAAACAACTAAAACTAGCTATAGATTTTTTTTTTTTTTACATTTTTCTACTTTGTAGATTATGGAAAAAACCCATCAAAACATCATAAGTTAGTATTTGTATAAAATGTTTATTCAAAATATTTTATACATATTCCTGAGTTTGTTACATTTCACTGTTACTTTGTACATTTCTTTCCATAATTACATAAATAATTTACTGCTTCATGATGTGACGTCTCTCCACAGTTCTCATGTGGCAGCCAGCTGCTGCTGCACGGCTCTGTACCGCAGCAGCTCCTGCTCCGATACTGACGGTTTGAAGTTTCCTAAGGCTGCGGAGAAATCCTCAGCACAGAGGAGGAGGGGCGTGTCCTCCGAGTCCACACCTGGGAGAGGGGAGAGGGGGGAGGGGATAGTGGTGGTGGGGGGCAGAGAGTTCAGAGTTTCAGTATTTATTTTATGCTTTAAACCTTTTTGCTTCTGATTTACCTTTTACTATGAGGGAGATTTTCCTCTTGATCGCTGATGTCATGGCGTCTGAACAGAGGGCGTAGAGGTCAGCCCCCGTCATGTGATCTGGACAGCTGTTTACCAGCAGCTCCAGGTCCAGGCCGGGGTCCAACTGGAACCTGGAGGCAGCAGGATATTCATATTTACCTAGCTTGTTTACTGACAACAAGAGAGAGTGGTTACCATGGAAACAACTGACTCTGACAGGTGTAAATGCTAGTCTGAACATACTATGGATTTGTCCCCCTAGTGGCAGGAATGTTAGACCCCAAAAACATAACAACAACAACAATACAATCTGACCCTCCCAAAAAAATTGCTAGTGCATTTCAACCTTACAGGTCAGTTGTTTTCACCAGATTTGGTTTCAGTTGTACAAAGTGTGTGTGTGTGTGTGTGTGTGAACTCACTTCCTGGTGATGGCCTCAAGTACTTGTAGCTGGGAGGTTTTATCCTTGTTGACTCCTACGTAAACCAACTTGTCAAACCTGCAAAGACACGAATCAAGACATTAAAGTGTTTGCTGGACAAATGCTGCCTCGTGTGGTTACTTTCTGTCAGTGCAGTAAAAATGAATGAGTTACTTTTTAACAGATTTAGACCAATTAGTGAAGTGTGAGAGAGAGCTAAAGGACTGACCTTCCTGGTCTCAGCAGTGACTGGTCCAGGAGGTCAGGACGGTTGGTGGCTCCGATCACAAAAACTCCAGACGCTGAGTCTAGACCGTCGAGCTCAGCCAACAGCTGCGACACCACCCTGTGGACAAAGATATACGAGTATTTAATATAAGTGTTCTGAGTGCAGGTTTGTTTAGCAACATAAAAACAAACTGCCCCCCCCCCCCCCACAAACCTGTCCATGACTCCTCCAGAGTCTCCACTTCGCCCCCTGCTGGGAGCCAGAGAGTCGAGCTCATCAAAGAAGATGACACAAGGAGCCGCTGATCGAGCTCTAAAGAACACTGAACGATAAAAAAACAGTTTTAACACAATTTATCATCAGTTTGTAATCTAATTATCTGGTATTGGTACACACAAAACAATAAGAGGGTTGAAGAATGGACACAAACCTTCTCTGATGTTCTCCTCACTTTGACCCACGTACATGTTGATCAGCTCTGGACCTTTGACGCTGCAACAACAAACAACAACAAACAAAAACATCAGTTTCCTAACGACATTGATCAATCTTAATCTTCATAAACCAACATCTGAACAGCCCTCAGGTAACACCACTGAGAGTTGGTGGAAAGTTCTAACCTGAGGAAGGTCATGGAACATTCCGTGGCCACGGCTTTGGCCAGCAGTGTTTTCCCTGTTCCGGGCGGTCCGTACAGCAGGATCCCTGTGCGGCTCAGACCCAGAGACAGAAGCTCTGGACGTTGCAGAGGAAGTTGAACCGTGTTCAGGATCTCTTTCTTCACCTGCTGCAGACCCCCGACATCCTCCCACCGCACATTCGGGATCTGAGATGGAGGTTCAGAAGATGATGACAATGACAATCAGTGCATGATTTTTCACAACTTCCATAGAAGTCAATGCACATCTTCATTAAATTTTGCTAAATCTACAGAGAATTTAATTTAGTCTTCGACTACATGGGATGCATATTAATGTGTATTTAATGATCTTTGAAGTAGCAATAGTTAGTAGCAATCTGCTAACTTTAAAAATCACTACTAACATTGAGATTCTCTGCAAAGACAGCATAAAAGAACCTCACCTTTGGGGCTCCAACAGCTTTGGACTGAGCGTCCTGCAGAGTCTCCAGTGCTGAGGTAAAGTCCTGGTTCTGGATGGTCACACCGGTCTGGCACAGGTCCTCCTCCTGCAGTCGGCCACTGCACAAAACACAGAATGGTTCCTATTAAGATCTTCGTTGAATAAAATATATATTTTTTTTTATTTAGAGAAAAAAATCAGTCACATCTTCTCACCAGATGAGCCTCAGTCTCCTACAGGCTGCTCTTCCTGCCTCGGCCACCAGGGCTCTGAGATCCCCCAACACAAACCCCTGAAAAAAACGAAAAAATAAAAATCACATCAACAAGTTTGTTATGTAGAATGTGTTTCTGAGACTTAGAAGTAACATGTAGCTTTATTACAGTGAAAAAAATATTTAATCCTGAGCCAAAGAAATCTTTAAAGATAAGATGTTGCTTTTACTTAATATACAGGCTTTACATATATATTTATTTATATATATATTTACACAGTGTAATGGATAGCCTAGCTACCCTTGCTAATGGCGCTGACATGTTTTTAGAACACTGTCATAATGAGCAATAATATTTAATAAATGCAGTAATGTGTCGTACCGATGTGAGCTTGGCGAGTCTCTCCAGACTGACATCCCTCCCCAGGTGGAGGTCATAGGTCAGGCCGACCAGCATTGAGCTCCGCTGCTCTTCAGATGGACTCTCTAATGCCACCTGATGCACAAACGCTGTCACAACACCAGCAGAGAGATCCCGAGGTCTGCAAACGGTTCCCACCACCACCACACTGAAACACAACATAAAACATGTTGATCTAGAACTTCTGTAGCGCCACCTAACAGATATTTGAAGGTATTCCAGCCAAACCATAACACAGTAACAATTATGGCAGTGGACCTTGGTTACTGTACGAGAGTGAAATGGACACCCACCTGGTGGGGACACTGCTGAGCAGCTGGCAAAGTGACGCACTGACTCGGCTGTCCTCCTCGCTGGCTCCACCTTTGGGTTGAAGGAGTAGATGCAGGTTCCTGAGCAGCAGCATGCAGGGCTGCACGGCCGCAGCTTTCTGGAACACTGATGCTAACTTCACCTCAGAGGCAGCAGAAGTGTCGGCGCACAAGCCGACACAGTCCACCTGTTCACAATAGAAAAAAAAAAAAAGAGTTTAGAGAAAGAATCAATACAGAAAAGGTGCAGAGTTTAGACAGAAGGAATTTTTTTCTCATGAAAATGAGGACGAAAAACATTTATCAACAAATTTCATCTCGGGACTGAGACGAGACAATGACGAGCTAAGAATAAAAGCAGAGAAAAAATGTATTTCTCTCACCTTCAGCAGGTGGAGGTTCAGTCTGCGACTAGCAGCACTGACCACGATCACTTTTCCACTTCCTGCTGGACCATGAAGGAGGACAGTACAACTGGACAGAGATCTACTGTAATGACAACACACACAAACACTGTTTACTCACATGAACATGTCCCATCATGCCTTTCTCTCTGTGATAGGCTCTACAAATCAGGCCAATCAGATTCTACGTCTCTTTTCTGTACCTGTGGTGAAGGTGCGGCAGAACAATTCCACAGAGGTCATCAACAATCTGGTGGAGACCTGGAGGAGACAGAGAGGTCCCCAGAGACATTCCATCCACCAAGCAGCAGGGGGCAGAGCTGTTGGTAGATGCACCCTGAGTAGACAAAAAAAAACATTTGGTGCTGAGTCAACACATGACTTTTATCAGCCTAAACTCAGACAAACCAGAGTTAAGAAGCTAAAACACACGTATCTGATCATTAAATCTAGTTAATGACTATAAATGACTTCGCTTCTAATGGTAATTTGTTTTGATACTAACCAGCTAAAGGTAACCTCATACTGTGTCAGTGATTATTTAGCCGTCTTATACAGTACTGTCGTAGGTTAAAGCTTACCATGTAGAGGGAAGTGTGAAGTCTGTCGGCCAGGAAGGCTCCACAACTTCCTCCTCCATCTTTATCATCTTCTCCTCCCCCTGGTGGACAAACCTTCTGTACTTTGAAGAACAGCACCGAACACCTGTTAAGATGTCAGACGTCAACGTTTTTTAATTCAGGTTCAGGTTAATCAAATATACGTTAGCAGGCGTTTTGTAGATAATGAAAGGTGTTTTACCAACTGAAAAACATTAATAACTAATACAATCAACATCTTCCTCAATGACCTTGAAGAAGTCTTCTTTTTCTTTCAGCTTTGTCCCTTTTTTCAGGGGTTGCCACAGCAAATGATGGATTTCCATCTCTCCCTGTTCTCTGCATCTCCTCCTCTGACTCCAACTATCTGCATGTCCTCCCTCACTGCATCCATATATCTCCTCTTTGGCCTTCCTCTCTTTCTCCTCCCTGGTAGCTCCATCGCTAACATTCTTCTACCAATGTATCCACTGTCCCTCCTCTGCACATGTCCAAACCATCTCAATCAGGCTTCTCTAGCTTTTTCTCCAAACCTTCCTGTCTGTGTTGTCCCTCTAATGGCCTCATTCCTGATCCTGTCCATTCTTTTGTCATTCACAATTGGTCAGTTTTTGAAAAATTTTGAAAAAAAAAATTTTAAAAAAAAAAAAAAATTTCTGAAAAAAAAAAAATTTTAATGAAAAAAAAATTTTAAAAAAAAAAAAAAATTTGAAAAAAAAAAAAAATTTCTGAAAAAAAAAAAATTTCTGAAAAAAAAAAAATTTGAAAAAAAAAAAAAAATTTGAAAAAAAAAAAAAAAAATTTCTGAAAAAAAAAAAATTTCTGAAAAAAAAAAAATTTGAAAAAAAAAAAAAATTTCTGAAAAAAAAAAAATTTGAAAAAAAAAAAAATTTTTTTTTCATTAAAATTTTTTTTTTCAAAAAATGTTTTTCCAAAAAATTTTTTTTTGACCAAGTGAGCTCAGAGTGAAGACCAAGCAACCTCCAGGTGATCTCAAGTGATGACCAAGTGAGCTCAGAGTGAAGACCAAGCAACCTCCAGGTGATCTCAAGTGAGCTCAGAGTGAAGACCAAGCAACCTCCAGGTGATCACAAGTGATGACCAAGTGAGCTCAGAGTGAAGACCAAGCAACCTCAGGTGATCACAAGTGATGACCAAGTGAGCTCAGAGTGAAGACCAAGCAACCTCCAGGTGATCACAAGTGATGACCAAGTGAGCTCAGAGTGAAGACCAAGCAACCTCAGGTGATCACAAGTGATGACCAAGTGAGCTCAGAGTGAAGACCAAGCAACCTCAGGTGATCACAAGTGATGACCAAGTGAGCTCAGAGTGAAGACCAAGCAACCTCCAGGTGATCACAAGTGATGACCAAGTGAAGACCAAGCAACCTCCAGGTGATCTCAAGTGAGCTCAGAGTGAAGACCAAGCAACCTCCAGGTGATCTCAAGTGAGCTCAGAGTGAAGACCAAGCAACCTCCAGGTGATCACAAGTGATGACCAAGTGAGCTCAGAGTGAAGACCAAGCAACCTCCAGGTGATCACAAGTGATGACCAAGTGAAGACCAAGCAACCTCCAGGTGATCTCAAGTGAGCTCAGAGTGAAGACCAAGCAACCTCCAGGTGATCTCAAGTGAGCTCAGAGTGAAGACCAAGCAACCTCCAGGTGATCTCAAGTGATGACCAAGTGAGCTCAGAGTGAAGACCAAGCAACCTCAGGTGATCACAAGTGATGACCAAGTGAAGACCAAGCAACCTCCAGGTGATCTCAAGTGAGCTCAGAGTGAAGACCAAGCAACCTCCAGGTGATCACAAGTGATGACCAAGTGAGCTCAGAGTGAAGACCAAGCAACCTCAGGTGATCACAAGTGATGACCAAGTGAAGACCAAGCAACCTCCAGGTGACCTCCAAGTGACCTCAGAGTGAAGACCAAGCAACCTCCAGGTGATCACAAGTGATGACCAAGTGAGCTCAGAGTGAAGACCAAGCAACCTCCAGGTGATCTCAAGTGATGACCAAGTGAGCTCAGAGTGAAGACCAAGCAACCTCCAGGTGATCTCAAGTGAGCTCAGAGTGAAGACCAAGCAACCTCCAGGTGATCTCAAGTGATGACCAAGTGAGCTCAGAGTGAAGACCAAGCAACCTCAGGTGATCACAAGTGATGACCAAGTGAGCTCAGAGTGAAGACCAAGCAACCTCCAGGTGATCTCAAGTGAGCTCAGAGTGAAGACCAAGCAACCTCCAGGTGATCTCAAGTGAGCTCAGAGTGAAGACCAAGCAACCTCCAGGTGATCACAAGTGATGACCAAGTGAAGACCAAGCAACCTCCAGGTGATCACAAGTGATGACCAAGTGAAGACCAAGCAACCTCCAGGTGATCTCAAGTGAGCTCAGAGTGAAGACCAAGCAACCTCCAGGTGATCTCAAGTGAGCTCAGAGTGAAGACCAAGCAACCTCCAGGTGATCTCAAGTGATGACCAAGTGAGCTCAGAGTGAAGACCAAGCAACCTCCAGGTGATCTCAAGTGATGACCAAGTGAGCTCAGAGTGAAGACCAAGCAACCTCCAGGTGATCTCAAGTGATGACCAAGTGAGCTCAGAGTGAAGACCAAGCAACCTCCAGGTGATCTCAAGTGATGACCAAGTGAGCTCAGAGTGAAGACCAAGCAACCTCCAGGTGATCTCAAGTGATGACCAAGTGAGCTCAGAGTGAAGACCAAGCAACCTCCAGGTGATCTCAAGTGAGCTCAGAGTGAAGACCAAGCAACCTCCAGGTGATCTCAAGTGATGACCAAGTGAGCTCAGAGTGAAGACCAAGCAACCTCCAGGTGATCTCAAGTGAGCTCAGAGTGAAGACCAAGCAACCTCCAGGTGATCACAAGTGATGACCAAGTGAAGACCAAGCAACCTCCAGGTGATCACAAGTGATGACCAAGTGAGCTCAGAGTGAAGACCAAGCAACCTCCAGGTGATCACAAGTGATGACCAAGTGAGCTCAGAGTGAAGACCAAGCAACCTCCAGGTGATCACAAGTGATGACCAAGTGAGCTCAGAGTGAAGACCAAGCAACCTCCAGGTGATCACAAGTGATGACCAAGTGAGCTCAGAGTGAAGACCAAGCAACCTCCAGGTGATCACAAGTGATGACCAAGTGAGCTCAGAGTGAAGACCAAGCAACCTCCAGGTGATCTCAAGTGAGCTCAGAGTGAAGACCAAGCAACCTCAGGTGATCACAAGTGATGACCAAGTGAGCTCAGAGTGAAGACCAAGCAACCTCAGGTGATCACAAGTGATGACCAAGTGAGCTCAGAGTGAAGACCAAGCAACCTCCAGGTGATCTCAAGTGATGACCAAGTGAGCTCAGAGTGAAGACCAAGCAACCTCCAGGTGATCTCAAGTGATGACCAAGTGAGCTCAGAGTGAAGACCAAGCAACCTCCAGGTGATCTCAAGTGAGCTCAGAGTGAAGACCAAGCAACCTCCAGGTGATCTCAAGTGAGCTCAGAGTGAAGACCAAGCAACCTCCAGGTGATCACAAGTGATGACCAAGTGAGCTCAGAGTGAAGACCAAGCAACCTCCAGGTGATCTCAAGTGAGCTCAGAGTGAAGACCAAGCAACCTCCAGGTGATCACAAGTGATGACCAAGTGAAGACCAAGCAACCTCCAGGTGATCACAAGTGATGACCAAGTGAGCTCAGAGTGAAGACCAAGCAACCTCCAGGTGATCACAAGTGATGACCAAGTGAGCTCAGAGTGAAGACCAAGCAACCTCCAGGTGATCACAAGTGATGACCAAGTGAGCTCAGAGTGAAGACCAAGCAACCTCCAGGTGATCACAAGTGATGACCAAGTGAGCTCAGAGTGAAGACCAAGCAACCTCCAGGTGATCACAAGTGATGACCAAGTGAGCTCAGAGTGAAGACCAAGCAACCTCCAGGTGATCTCAAGTGAGCTCAGAGTGAAGACCAAGCAACCTCCAGGTGATCTCAAGTGAGCTCAGAGTGAAGACCAAGCAACCTCAGGTGATCACAAGTGATGACCAAGTGAGCTCAGAGTGAAGACCAAGCAACCTCAGGTGATCACAAGTGATGACCAAGTGAGCTCAGAGTGAAGACCAAGCAACCTCCAGGTGATCTCAAGTGAGCTCAGAGTGAAGACCAAGCAACCTCCAGGTGATCTCAAGTGAGCTCAGAGTGAAGACCAAGCAACCTCCAGGTGATCACAAGTGATGACCAAGTGAGCTCAGAGTGAAGACCAAGCAACCTCCAGGTGATCTCAAGTGAGCTCAGAGTGAAGACCAAGCAACCTCCAGGTGATCTCAAGTGAGCTCAGAGTGAAGACCAAGCAACCTCCAGGTGATCACAAGTGATGACCAAGTGAGCTCAGAGTGAAGACCAAGCAACCTCCAGGTGATCACAAGTGATGACCAAGTGAAGACCAAGCAACCTCCAGGTGATCACAAGTGATGACCAAGTGAGCTCAGAGTGAAGACCAAGCAACCTCCAGGTGATCACAAGTGATGACCAAGTGAGCTCAGAGTGAAGACCAAGCAACCTCCAGGTGATCTCAAGTGAGCTCAGAGTGAAGACCAAGCAACCTCCAGGTGATCTCAAGTGAGCTCAGAGTGAAGACCAAGCAACCTCCAGGTGATCTCAAGTGATGACCAAGTGAGCTCAGAGTGAAGACCAAGCAACCTCCAGGTGATCACAAGTGATGACCAAGTGAGCTCAGAGTGAAGACCAAGCAACCTCCAGGTGATCTCAAGTGAGCTCAGAGTGAAGACCAAGCAACCTCCAGGTGATCACAAGTGATGACCAAGTGAAGACCAAGCAACCTCCAGGTGATCACAAGTGATGACCAAGTGAAGACCAAGCAACCTCCAGGTGATCTCAAGTGAGCTCAGAGTGAAGACCAAGCAACCTCCAGGTGATCACAAGTGATGACCAAGTGAAGACCAAGCAACCTCCAGGTGATCTCAAGTGAGCTCAGAGTGAAGACCAAGCAACCTCCAGGTGATCACAAGTGATGACCAAGTGAGCTCAGAGTGAAGACCAAGCAACCTCCAGGTGATCACAAGTGATGACCAAGTGAGCTCAGAGTGAAGACCAA